TGCATGCAGGTTGGACTTGGATTTTATGCCTGTCATGTAACATTCTGGTTCAGGGGAAGGCTACGGAATAGCCTCTTGAGCCATGAGAGTGCGTGCACATGAATACTGGGGCCAAATGGTGAAAGCGTTTTGTCGTCACACTGAATGCTCAAGTCTAAAACAAGGCTGGGTAGGTTTGCAATGAAACTGGAAGCGTTGCTGGCGACTATCTTTCTTCAGCTGGCACACGTGGGGCTACGTAAAGATCCGGCTTTCTTGGCGCAGCCTGCAGGGGTGACGTGTGAGTGTCCTTGCAACTGCCCAGCGGAGGACCCAAGCCTTGAAAGGTGGCATTTGCTAGGTGCAGGTCTGATTGGATCTGGTGTAGCAGTCCTAGCTGGAGCGTGCGGCCAAAGACGGCAACCTTCTTCTGCCCCGGTGAGCCCGAGGCGGCGGGGCCATGGCGTACTTGAGCATTCGCCTGGGGACACCTTGGCGCACCGGTATCAGGACGATGATTGCTGGCATGAACGGAAAGCGCTTTGGCGCGTGAAAGAGGGCGTCTGGGTGGTGATCACGCCGGACTCCGATGTGTATGCTGAGGACCTTCGGGGAGTGGCCGACGGGCCAGCCGGGTCAAGGTCAAGGGAGTTCACTTTCGTTATTGGAGCAGGGTGGGAGGCTCATGCTACAAGTTTGCTGCCCTCCATGCGCTCCCTGCGTCTGGGGCGTCCATGAGCACGAGTTCTGGGCGAGGATCACCGTCTACAGCTCCAATTGGGGATTCTTGAGGCCGAGGTGCTTGTTTGGCCCTGAGGCGGCGAGGCAAGAAGGATCGGGTGGCGGATCCCCGACCTGGTGTGGTACTTGGACAGCGGGTTACCCCAGACCCTGATACTGACTTGGCTTTGGATGCCAGTAACGGGGTCGCTAAAGTTCGGGGTCACTGGGTTCGGGTTGAGAAGGTTTCGGACAAGGAATTTGAGGCCTGGAAGGTTCGCAGACAAGAGGAACTGACAAGGATCAAGGTTGTTGGGGCCGGCCTCCGGATTGACTCCAAGGCAGCTGGTGCGGGCCCGGACGGTGCGATGGGGGAGCCTGAGAGTGACAAGGTCAGAGAAGATGTTCGGACCTTATGGGTTCTGTACGATGAGCAGGGGTGAGAGGTACCGAGAGTGGCGAGCGGTGACCCAAGAAGCCTCCACCCACTCATTCTCTGATTGGCCGTTTCAGGGGCCGCAGAGTGCCCTTCACGTTTGCAAACATATGCTACGACGAGGGGGGGATCCTAAATTGTGGATGCAAGTGTGGATGCGGAGACACAGTTTGATGGATTCAGACCGAGTCGTTCATGAGCTCCGTACGCTGGTCGCGACCCTCTACCTAGCCGGTGTTTACGATCAACTTAATTTGGGTTCCTTGAGTTGCCTTGAATGTGTCAGCCGCCGGATCCAAACAATAGTAGAGGCCTTCTCAAACAGCACTGGATCTACTCCCGCTTGGTCTCATGCTCGCCTTTACACTGGCCAAGCCACTGCAGACGATGTGGTAAGCCCTGACCTTCGGTCATGGGCGGCCAAAAAGGGGAAAGAAGAGGTGGAGCTCCATCAAGCCCGTACAAAGATCCGGGAAGCTCGACGCTTGGGCACGAGACGGGTGACACAGGCGATGGTGGTACTGGCGAGGGAACGGTTCCTCGTGGACGTGGTCGGGGCCGTGCCTCAAAAGCGCTTGAGGCCCCGGCCAGAACATGAGGCCATAGTGGCCGCGCTGTCCCAAAATCTTCCCAGCAGTGATCCCTTTCCATTGCCTTTGTTGGAGGTGGAGAGGCCTTTGTGCAATTGGCGAGGCGGGCGAGAATTAGAGTTGGTAAATCTTGGTATCGGCAAATCTCCAATCCGAGATGGTTGAGAGGGTGGTGAAGCTGGCCTCTGACTCTTTTAAGCTTGAGGACGGTTTTTCTTCACCGCCTACACCGGAGGCAGCCTTAGTTGAGCTGCTCCGCGGGGCTGATGATTATTCAGGCCCTGCATCCACACTGGCGGCCTACCACCGTGAGCGTGTCTCCATGCCGGACTCAGTTCTCCTGCGCTGACTGAGCTCTTGCCTGATGACGCCCTTCACTATTTGGAGGCCCCTGAGCGCATGCTGAGGATGGATGAGGATGTGGAATGTGATGTGGTTCCATATTGGGATGCCACCTTGCGCAACAAACCCCCGTGCCTACAAGGACTTTATCAAGCGTCTCTACGGCATAGGGTATCTAGATGTGACGCGGAATCCGAAAGAGCGAGCTGGGATGTTTTTTGTCAAAAAATCCGATGGTGTCAGGATTCGTCTCATCATCGATGCGAGGAGGGGAAATGCAAGGTTCCGTGACCCTCCCGGGATTTCTTTAGCCACCTCTGAAGCCTTTGCCAGGTTCGAGCTGGACGTTCAAGGCATCGAATCGACTGCGGAGGCAGGCTATGGAATCCCATCACTTCCATAGAATGGTGCAGCCTAGATGGATGAGAGAGTACTTTGCCCTCGATCCTGTGCCGGCTGACTGGCTTGGTCTAGGTGGCTCCCTTTTGAATGGCTACATGCTGAAGAAGGACGACCTGATTTGGCCAATGCCGGCGCCTTTGTGCATGGGGTTCAGCTGGTCCCTGTATTTTGCTCAGAAGGCGAACCAACACCTGATGGGCAATATTCCCGTATCGTCCAGGCTGTTCTCTGACCGATCTCACCCCGTGGTTATCAAGACCGGCAAGGACATTGAGGCGCAGCCAAGCCACCATTCTGTTTACGTAGACAATTTGGGGATGCTTTCGACTGACATCGGTGCCCTCAAAGAAGCTTTGACTCAGGTGACGGAAGAGTTCTATGCCCACGGCCTCGACCTTCATCCAGGTGAGGTCGCTCAGGAAGGCGTTGACACTTTGGGTTGCCGGGTAGATGGAGTGAAGCATCGTACTTCGTTGAAGCCATCTCGCGTGCACAAGGTTCGGCAAGCTTTACATGGACTTCTCAATCGAGGCAAGTGCAGTGGAAGGCTCCTCGAGAATTTGATTGGCCACCTGACGTATTCGTTTCTTATGGCCAGGCCCTTGCTCTCAATCTTTGACCGTACGTACAAATTCATCAAGCGGCACTACGACATGAAGGTCCCACTTTGGCCTAGTGTTCGTGATGAGCTTAGTGCGGCTTTGGGGGGCATGATCTTCTGCCAGGCTGATTGGACCAGAAAGTGGAACAAGGTGGTGTCGGCCTCAGATGCTAGTTTGGAAGGCTATGGAGTTTGCACCGCAGAATGGCCCTTGGAGATCGTGAAGAGTGTGGGCAGGCTACAGGAAAGGGAACGATTTCGACGTGCAGTGGGCCACTCAGCTAGAGAAGCCGCGCTAGAACGTGCTCGGCTCGGCCCTAGCGGCATTGTGGACTCTCATGATGCCAACGAGGCTGGCTGGGACATTGACGAAGACTTTCCGGAGGTTCCTCATGAGTGGCTTCGTGAGGAGCGCTGGGATGTTAAGTTGAAGGGAAAGTGGAAGCATGCTGAGAACATCTATGAGCTCGAAAGCTTGGCACTGCTCAAATCCTTTTCGAGACTGGCGAGGGGTCGATATGGAAAGGACTCACGTCAACTTTTGCTTGTAGACCACATGGCTGTTGCGCTATCCTTCAGTCGAAGCAGGTCCAAAAACCGGAGGGTTTTGCAGATCATTCGTAAGTTCAGTGCGTGGGCTCTTGGACGCAATGTCGCGTGTGCTGTGCGGTGGATTCCTTCTGAGCTGAATGCCGCCGACAAACCTTCACGCTCCCTCAGCTTCAAGAAGGACCCGGACCCTCTCTCCCCCAGCAAAGTCGAAAGCAAACCAGGCCAGCAAGGTGAGAACTTTGCAAGCCTCCGGGGCAAGCAGCTCAAAGCAGGCCAGTTGCACCATGCCATGGTGACAAGGGAGTCCTCCAGAGTGTCCATTTTGGACCAGTTGGGGGAGATAACAGAGGAGAAGCCCCGTCAAAAGAAACGTGGGCGCAGCACGTCTTCTTCGAGCACCACGGACCCTGGAAGTCCCGAGCCGGCCAAGGGAAAACAGAGAGTCCAAACTTTAGCAAGAAGACAGAAGCGGAGGCTGAAGAAGTACTTGGACAAGGCCTTCAATGCCAACATTCGAGGGACAAGTCTGCTCGAAGACGAGGCCGTTACGGCCCAAGTCCAACGGTACTACAAGAAGGAAGTCAAACAACTCCTCGACTTTGTCAAACGGCAGAACCTGGCTTTCAAGGAAGACAAGGAGATCGATGCTGGAATCGTGAAGTTCATGAATCGATGCTTTTGGTTGGGGGAGCAGGCCCACAAAGGAGAGAAGCTGCTGGCAGCCTTCATGCACGAGAGGCCAGACTTTGGGAGACTGGGTTCACGCAAGTTGCCCAGAAGCTGGAGAGCTTTGAAAGGGTGGAGGAGACTCAGTCGGAGACCGTGGCTTTTAATGGCGGTGTACACCATGGTCGCTTTGAGCTCCGATGCCCGTCCAGCCGAGCTTCTACGGAGCACCACCTACTCGCTGGTGCCTCCAGTCTTGTTGGCAACAGCGGAGTGGACTCTCTT